TTTTTTTTTTTAAAGACTGAGATTATTGGATTAAGTATATTAATAATAACATTTAAAATTCCTCAGATGCTTTTAATATTTCAGCTGTAAAGAAAACACAAAAAAACACCAATACGTGGATATGTGTTTGAATAGAAATTTAAAATGATATAAATATTAAATATTATTAATAAACGAATGAAATGCGAAAAAATGACGAATTATAAAAATGAGAATAAAAATAACGAAAATCCATTCAAATTTTTGAAAAAAAAGAGAAAACAAATGTTTCATTTTTTTGATAACACCACCGAGTATCCAACCAATACCGAACTCCAAAAAAACATGCGATGACGAAATCATTCATATACCGACCGTTCTCCGACCATCTTTGGTTCGGATCGGCTGCTCATCATTACGTACGGCTGATGTTGGCTCGTAACGTTTATTTAGATCTATGTCCGGTCATGTGAAATTCGAAACTTGGGACTAGATTTGACTAATTGTACCAAAAATGTACTTAATAATGCTCATTTTTTAAAATTTTGTTTGAGGGTAAAATTTTGGGGCACTTCAATTTTCCGGTCAACTAGCCAAAATAAAATTCAACGATATTTTTTTTATTTTTTATGGTTTATTTATTTTTTCACGATGATCGATACACTTTTGCATTCGCTTGAACCATTTGCCATAAAAGTATTTTCATTCCGCGTGAGACACCTCCAAAACGTGTGTTTTGAACGCATCAACTGCTTCTTCGGGCGTTGAAAATCGTTGACCACGCAGTTTATTCTTCACGTACGGGAACAAAATGAAATCATTGGGGGCCAAATCAGGACTGTACGGCGGATGACCCATCAATTCGATCTTTTGAGTGGTCAAATATTCAGTTGTTTGATGAGATGTGTGAGAGCTCGCATTATCATGATGAAGAATTATTCTGCGACGGCGATCGTTTTTTCTCAATTCACCAAACACTTTGAGCATGGCACAAATGGTAGTGTACCAATCATAATTGACCGTCCTACGATCCTCTAGTGGAACGGTTGCTACATGTCCACTTATCGCGAAAAAACCGGCGATCATTTGCTTCGAAGTGCTTCTTGCTCGAACAGCTTTCGTTGGGTTATCTTCACTTTGGAAGACCCATACAGTCGACTGCTGACCCATACAGTCGACCCATACAGTCGACCTATGTATGTATGCTGGTCCTACTAATGCCCAGACAAGCTTCAATCTCACGGTATGTCACATGACGATCTTCCATTATCATGTTTCTGATAGCATCGATGTTCTGTGGAACGATTGAATTCATCTTTGGTGTCGTTGACACGACTAATTAGTAATTACAAATGTCAAACTAAAAACTGTTGTATATATGTTGTTGGTTGTCTATAATATGTCATTCTCTATCGAACTGTCGACAAGAAAGGTTTTATGATAATATTGTGTTCAAGCGAATATTTGTCTTAATTTATTTTAATTTTGTGAGCTAAAGAAGTTCAAGTGTGGTAAAGTTATTATGGCCGACGATTTACAAAATTATAAATTGCAATTGCAGCAGGTAAGCAAAAGAAAAACAGAAATAAATCATTTCAGAAAAGCCGAACATTTTGGCTCTATTTTTCTGTGTTATTTATAATTTGTTGTGTTTTTTGTTTACAATTCGAACTGAATTAACATTTGATTTTTGTTTCCGTTTAGGTGGAGGCTGCCCTGCTAACAGATCCCGATAACAGTGAATTGTTAAAATTGAAGGAGGATTTAGTAGAAGTGATTGAATTGACTCGGGACCTGATCAAAACCCAACTTGAAGAGCAAAAAAAAGACATCGTATGTCGAATCAAACAAATCGTATGCCGCTAAAAAATCGTTCGATGACATTGGAGAGTCATCATCATCAATAACATCATCGGGTGCAACGGCAGCAGCTGCTGGTTTATGTGATGATTATGATGAAATTGAGGCGGCATTATTAGCAGCCGAACAAAGTACAAAAGCTAGACCACAATGGAAGATCGGCGATAAATGCCAAGCCAAATGGACCGAAGACGGTAATTTTTACGATGCAACAATCGAAGGCATTAGCGAAAGTGGTGAGGTCAATGTTGTGTTTGAAGCATATCAAAATCGCAGCACGACCACACTAGCCGAATTGAAAGAACGCGTTGTACGAAACGAAGTATTCCCGTCAAATAAGTAAGCATCGAACAACAAATTTTAGAAAACATTTTTTTATATATTTCATTTATTGATTATTTGTTTTTTTTTTGTTTTTAATTTGCAGACGACTTCGACCAAACAATAAAGAATACTTGAAGAAAAAGAAGGCAAAGAAACAGCAACGATTCAAAGTGTTGGAAGAAGAACGTGAACAAGATAAAAATAAATGGCTCAATTTTACAACGAAAAATACGAAAAAATCGGGACAAATAAAATCAAAAAGCATTTTCGCTTCACCGGATAATGTAAATGGCCGTGTTGGCATTGGAACATGTGGAGTGTCCGGAAATCCAATGACTAAATATTCATATGGTGAAAAATATCGAAAGGGAACGTAAAATTAATAGAGCAAACAACAACAAAACAACATCAAAACAAACAAACCAGATATTCAAGAACATTTAATTTTAATTTTAATTTTCAATTCACCTTTATTTGTAAATTTCTTAAGACTAAACATTACATAGAAAAAGGTATAAACTAGTGTTTTAATTATAAATTAGCTTTGCATCCCATACGGATTTTTCAAAGATCTACATTTAGTTATTTGATCGATTTCACGAATTAAGATTATGTAATGATTATGTATTGAGTATTGGATTTACTCAAGGGAAAAATATAAAAAAAAACCCTGTATATTTTTGAAATATAAAAAAAAGAGATCAAAAAGAATTATTGATATTTACAATTTTAAATTTTCAGTTAATTACTGAATTTCTGTAGTGTTCAATTGTAGGTATGCTATTGAAATAATTTAAGCATTCATTGCCCGATTGTAAACTAAGATCATTGAGGTAATCTAAGTATATTGGTGGTTTACTGTTATAATAATTTAAAGAATTCATATAATCTTCATCGTAAATTAAATGATATCTTATAATAGATGAGGTATTATTTTTCTCCCTGAGAATAAAATTTAATGAGTGTTGAACAAGCTCATTTTCAATATTATTTATTCCACTTTCCTTATAGATTAATTTGTTTGGATAGTATTTTACACTATCCGGTCTTCGGTAGAGCCCAGTACAAGCTCGTAAAATTTTTCTTTCCAGAAGGGCTATTTTATTTATTTGTGTTCTAGACACTTGCATCCAGATGGGAGCTGCATACATTGCAATCGGTTTGATAATTTGTTTATAAGCTAAAAGTTTAATGTTTTTAATTATTTTCCTATTGAAAAAAATATTTTTTAATGCAAAATATGCAGCAAGCATCTTGTTTCGTATAATTTCCAAGTGGTAATTGTAATTGAAATTTCTTGTAAAATGTATTCCCAAATATTTTAATTTTGTTGTTTTGGGAATTAATTTGTTATTAATTTTTAATTCAATTTTTTTTGCTCTGAATCGAACAGTTTGTGTTGTCTGCTTTATATTACCCAAAATTGTAATTTCCTCACATTTATTTTCATTTATTTTAATTTTCCATTTTGTTAAATAATTACCAATTATTTCCAAAAAATAATTTAGCTCTTCTGAGGCCAAATCAGTCAAATCAGTTTGAACTGAAAGAAGGGTATCGTCAGCAAATTGAGAAATTTTTATATTTAAATTACCCGTATGTTTCGGAAAATCAATTAAATAGAGTATGTAAAGCAAACAAGAAATTGCTGAGCCCTGAGCGGTACCAGCCGGTGCTGTATATGAATCAGAGCAAATATCATTAACCTGAACCCTATAAGTACGATTTGACAAATAATTTTTAACAAATTTACACATTGGAAGACTTATGTTTAAAATATTGTGCATTTTAAAAACCAATCCATCAATCCATAAAGTATCATAAGCTTTTTCAAAATCCAGTGCAACTAAATGTGTGGGTATTTTGTCATTCAACCCATAAGCAATTTCAGAGGCCAACTTAAATAATGCAGTAGTAGTGGAACGACCAGGTCGAAAACCGAACTGTGTTTCGAAATTTAAATTTAGATCATAACATTCAATTTCCAATTTTTGAGCCTGAATTTTTTCAAATACCTTAGCTAAACTGGATAATTTACTGATTGGTCTATGATTTGAAATAATTTTTTTATCCCTATTTGGTTTTAAAAGAGGAATAATTATTGCTTCTTTCCAACATTTTGGCATGTATGAATTATTAATTATGTGATTAAATAGAATGCACATTTTATAACAAAATTTTTCTGATGAAATTTTTTTAAGCACAAAATTGGAAACCCCGTCGTTACCATAAGATTTTTTTGTGTTTCTAGATTGTATTGTATTCATTACCAAATTAGCATCAACAAAATGTGAATTAATGTTTGTGGATAAAATTTCTTCCTGATTATTTATACCAAAATCAACAATTCTTTCTCCGTCAAATGTGTCGTTTATGTATGTGTTTACTTCAACATTAAAATCATCAAGACCAGAATTCAATGTTAAATTGTGTGCCTCCACAAAATGTTTGGCAAATGCGTTTGCTTTATCAACATCATTTATCAAAGGAGCAGAACTTGTTTCACTAAATTGCATTGATTCGGGTAAATTATATCTCTTTTTGTAATTCGAAAATCGTTTGAAATGTTTAAAAATATCCTTGTCAACTTTTAATTCACTGAATTTTTTTTCCCAAAAAGACTTATAGTCATTTACTATAGAATTGTAAGTCATATTTGATAATAATTTTAGATCAGATTTAATTGAATTAGTAAATGTATTGCGTCTGTTTCTGTGTAATTTACGTCGAGTTGATTTTTTTGTTCGTAGCAATTTAAGCGATTTGTCTGACAAATTGATCAAAGTATTTGGATTTATCTTAATGGTTGATTCAAGAACATATTTTGTAAACTATAAACTATAGTCTCAGCACCAATTTTTAGCGCGCCACATTCAAATCGTAACATAATTCTCATCATTGTATCCACATATGCACAGTTCTGTTCAGAGTTTAAGTAACAAAAAAAGATGATAATAAAAATGAAAATAGAAATGAGATTTGACTTTGTTGACATATATTTTGATTTTTAAATGATTGCATCAACACCTTTTGGGTCGCTTCGAACTTTGACCACACATTACAGTGTTTTTATACCTGTAAAACTGAAATTTTCAGTTTGTATCTTAATAAGAAAATGAAAGCGTTTAACTAACATTATAAAAGTGGACGGTAATTATATCATCACACTAATTATTCTACGAACCGAAAAGGGATTCACCTTTGTTCTGAGATAATTAGGAAATACGGCTTTTCCATTGAAAATTAGTCCATTTAACATTAAAGTATGTGTGGCCCATTTTCTTCTAACGAATTTCTCTGTTATTAAAGTAGAAATATGAATAAAATGGTAGAAATAGCTATAAAAATGATTTCGTTTGAAACGCTTTTAAACTATTAAATAACGATTGATGCAGTTTAAGAGTTTCGCGGAATGGTTTGGTTTCAGATCACAATCCTTAATAATTAGGACTATCGGCACAACAAAGCAAACACATTATCACACACACACACACATGAATACACTCAGATAGTCTGTAACAAAATGGGTTAAATGTTAATTATTTGGAATTTTTGTTACCAAAGTAATCCAAAAAGATTTAATGTAAAGGTAAACTTTAACATTCCGTCCATGTTGTTACACAGTGCATAAATTCAATTTCACATTTCCCTATTTTAAAATTTATACCGAATTGTAACGCTTATAATTATGAATTTATTTTTAAATGTTTGAAATTAATTACAGACTTTATTAAATAAAAAAAAATGCAAAAAAGCGTTAGATAGGTCAATTTGACTTGTGAAAAAAAGAAAAAAGAAAAAAAAAAATCTGAAACCTGGGAATTTCTGAACTAATCTTTAGTGTATAGAGAATGAAAGTAATAAACAAGTAGTGCGAAATTTTTCGATTTCACTTCTATATTAAATGTTGAAATTTAAAAGGATGTTGAATCGATAAGATTTCATTTTATTGTTAGTTGGGTTTTCTGTTTCGGCTGTAAAATAGAAAAATTTCAGAATTTATTGAAAGTGAAAATCTAGGTGCAAGATGCAAATATTCGCAGAGTCATTCGCTTTTTAGATTTTTTTTTTTTAAAGACTGAGATTATTGGATTAAGTATATTAATAATAACATTTAAAATTCCTCAGATGCTTTTAATATTTCAGCTGTAAAGAAAACACAAAAAAACACCAATACGTGGATATGTGTTTGAATAGAAATTTAAAATGATATAAATATTAAATATTATTAATAAACGAATGAAATGCGAAAAAATGACGAATTATAAAAATGAGAATAAAAATAACGAAAATCCATTCAAATTTTTGAAAAAAAAGAGAAAACAAATGTTTCATTTTTTTGATAACACCACCGAGTATCCAACCAATACCGAACTCCAAAAAAACATGCGATGACGAAATCATTCATATACCGACCGTTCTCCGACCATCTTTGGTTCGGATCGGCTGCTCATCATTACGTACGGCTGATGTTGGCTCGTAACGTTTATTTAGATCTATGTCCGGTCATGTGAAATTCGAAACTTGGGACTAGATTTGACTAATTGTACCAAAAATGTACTTAATAATGCTCATTTTTTAAAATTTTGTTTGAGGGTAAAATTTTGGGGCACTTCAATTTTCCGGTCAACTAGCCAAAATAAAATTCAACGATATTTTTTTTATTTTTTATGGTTTATTTATTTTTTCACGATGATCGATACACTTTTGCATTCGCTTGAACCATTTGCCATAAAAGTATTTTCATTCCGCGTGAGACACCTCCAAAACGTGTGTTTTGAACGCATCAACTGCTTCTTCGGGCGTTGAAAATCGTTGACCACGCAGTTTATTCTTCACGTACGGGAACAAAATGAAATCATTGGGGGCCAAATCAGGACTGTACGGCGGATGACCCATCAATTCGATCTTTTGAGTGGTCAAATATTCAGTTGTTTGATGAGATGTGTGAGAGCTCGCATTATCATGATGAAGAATTATTCTGCGACGGCGATCGTTTTTTCTCAATTCACCAAACACTTTGAGCATGGCACAAATGGTAGTGTACCAATCATAATTGACCGTCCTACGATCCTCTAGTGGAACGGTTGCTACATGTCCACTTATCGCGAAAAAACCGGCGATCATTTGCTTCGAAGTGCTTCTTGCTCGAACAGCTTTCGTTGGGTTATCTTCACTTTGGAAGACCCATACAGTCGACTGCTGACCCATACAGTCGACCCATACAGTCGACCTATGTATGTATGCTGGTCCTACTAATGCCCAGACAAGCTTCAATCTCACGGTATGTCACATGACGATCTTCCATTATCATGTTTCTGATAGCATCGATGTTCTGTGGAACGATTGAATTCATCTTTGGTGTCGTTGACACGACTAATTAGTAATTACAAATGTCAAACTAAAAACTGTTGTATATATGTTGTTGGTTGTCTATAATATGTCATTCTCTATCGAACTGTCGACAAGAAAGGTTTTATGATAATATTGTGTTCAAGCGAATATTTGTCTTAATTTATTTTAATTTTGTGAGCTAAAGAAGTTCAAGTGTGGTAAAGTTATTATGGCCGACGATTTACAAAATTATAAATTGCAATTGCAGCAGGTAAGCAAAAGAAAAACAGAAATAAATCATTTCAGAAAAGCCGAACATTTTGGCTCTATTTTTCTGTGTTATTTATAATTTGTTGTGTTTTTTGTTTACAATTCGAACTGAATTAACATTTGATTTTTGTTTCCGTTTAGGTGGAGGCTGCCCTGCTAACAGATCCCGATAACAGTGAATTGTTAAAATTGAAGGAGGATTTAGTAGAAGTGATTGAATTGACTCGGGACCTGATCAAAACCCAACTTGAAGAGCAAAAAAA